TAAAGCAAAACAAAAATAATACTATATTCGATATTTTTTTATTAAAAAAGGAAATCCTGCAAAGAAGAATGAAATCTAAACGAAGATAAAAAAATAACAACAAGAAGGAAGAAAAGAGAAAAAAAATGGAAATTGAGAAGAAACGAAGCAAAATCCAACTCAAAATTCACTGCCGCCCTCCTATCACGACTTATATCACTTGACTTACATGAATCGCCAGATAGATGATACTTACCAGTCGTGACCAATAAAGGGTTACGACTGTGACCTAATAGCTGAACGCCTTATGTCCCAACGACACGGAGCAAAGGATACAAGATTCTCGACCACCGGAGCTGATTTACGAAGACGACGATCAAATTACAAGATCAAACTCTAATCAAGTACCTAAAGATACCAATCGATCAGAACGCGGACCCTTAACTGGTCACCGGAAGCAGAGCACCAATCTAGCGATTCTTGCAACTGTTGCGTGATATTTGGTCGACAATAAATTTGAATTGGAATCGAAACAAAACTAAAGGGAATAGCTTATAAAAGCTATAAAATTGAAGAATATACGAACAATAAATTTACTAAATTATCACCAAAAATATTCGAACAGATAATTGCAGGAATAATAATCGACAAGATTTTTATTTTTCGTTGTAAGTTAAGATATCTTTATTACGAAATGCGCTCACAATAATCTTAACATCTATTTTATTGTACTTAAAACTAAAACTTAAAATTTAAAACTTAAATCTAAATTAAGATGCACGCATCCCACGACAATCCCACGATGCCTCGCGGGAGGTTTAATAAAATGGTACCTGCAGTTCATTCTAAATTACCACAATACCCAAAGGGAATCATAAATTTAGAATGGATTGCAGGTACTGCGTAGTTTTTAGCTTGATATCGATTTTTCAAAAATTAATCTTTGAAAAATTTTCAAAGATTGAAAATTTTCAAAGAATAATCTACAAAAATCGATTTCAATTACCAGATCTCACCACGAGGAGGTAACTACACATCGAGACCCGTTTATAAAAAATATATTATATATAATATTTTTATTCAATAAATAACTAATAAAAATAATATGTAATATTATAAAAATGTAAAAAAAAATATAAAAATATAAATAAATGAATGAAGAAATAAAACAATAAATAAATGAATAAAAAATAAAATAATAAAACTAAATATATAACTAATAAATAAATAAAAGTATAAATTAAAAAATAAATTTATAAATAAATTTATAAGTAAAAGAATAAATAAATGAATAATAAAATAAGTAAAATAATAAAAAAAATATAAATGAAATTATAAATTAAAAATAAATTAATAAATAAAAGAATAAATAAATGAAATTATAAATTAAAAAATAAATTTTTGATTAAATAAATATAAATATATAAATATTTAAATAAATGAAACAATATATTAATTGAAAAACAAATCGAATAAATAATATATTAATTAAAAATAAATATTAAAAAAAATAACTGATAAAAATTATTTCCTATGTTATAAGAATTTAATTAAAACAATAAAAAAAGAAAAATTTAATTAAAATAAATAAAAGAATTTAATTGAATTCGACCTATTCGTCAGAGCGATTCGACGCTAAATGAACTCTCTCGCGCGTCGTAGCTCCTATTTATAAAGTCGCTGTCCCGAAGTTCGACGAAAATAAACGTTCTTTCCCGATTACATTCAAATTGATTTTTTGAATATAATAATTAATAATTTTACAATTTTTATACTTTTACTATTAATTTACTATTAATTATTAATCCTGGTAATTTTTTACAGTAAAAAATAATACATTTTCATAAACTAAAATTAATAAAATAAAATAAATTTATAAAATTCATAAACTAAAATAAATTGCATTTATGTTTCTTTAATATTATTTATTTATTTTTTTCTTAATTTATTAATTTGATTATTTATTAAGTAAATAATTTAGTTATTTTTTTATCTATTTAGTCTTTTATTTATTATTTCATCTATTTTTTTATAAATTTTAT